ACAAATGTGTAATTGATTGAGGGAGATATTGTCTTGAAACTAATCGTTCTTGAAGATTTGGTTGAGAGTTTTAGGTAGCTTGCAAGATTGAGGTCGTTGTCATTAGTGCTGACAAATTTCAGTGAAAAGAATGAGGTTCTTCTCTCCAGATTGCCTTGGTAGTGACTGTATGGAAGGCCACTAACAAGGTAGAGTTCTTCTTAAATTTTCAAACAATTCATCGCCCAAGGAATTATTAGGATCAAGGGTTAATTTCTACACATGAATGCTTAGATAAGATTGGTGATATTGGAATATTCAAGAAGCATCTATTGAGTAAAGATTATGCAGAAGAGTTTGGCATTACGTTGTATACAAGTCAAGATCCAGATAGGAGATTAATTTTCTCAACATTATTGTGGATTGGTGATTGTATGAACACTTTTAAACATTTGTCAAATAAAAAGGAAAAATGCGGGTTCCAATGGGAAACCATTGGAGAGTGGACATAGGCAAAGCGAGGACGAACACTGAAGCATTATAAATCTCGCTATCATCTCCATCCTTACTCTTGAATTTAATTTTCAGAGGATTTGTATGCTTATATATTTCAATTCTAGTATAATTTATCGTTTATTCAGTTGGTAGCAATTTATTACATAATCTTAGGTTTTGTTAGAATTGATGCCTAATCGAGCTGAATTGGTAATTAAATTTTGAGAAACAATTGAGGTTAGAATTCATTGATATTGAATCATTGTATAAACACAGTTAGAAAAAGATTTGTTCTTGACATATTCCCTTTTAGTTTTGATGATAACAAAAGTATTAAAAGAACAATGGTTTATTTGATGTGTATTTTATTTATGCAGGTTCTTGTTCTTGACATAAGAAATCAGAATCTATTTTACTTAGACACACTTGGAGTTGCTTCATTGCTAGCTTTTGGTCGCAGAGTCTGAACAATGATTGCTAGTATGGTTTGACAAAGACTATGAAATGAAGGCCTCAACATTAAGACAAGTTTCTACACTTAGTAATTGAATATCAGCATCTGATACCATTCAGAGTTGGTGATAAAGTTATGGACTATCTGCACTACTGAAAGCAAGTTGTATTGTCTTATTAGCCTGTCATCTTGAGTCTATAACTTTAGTAGTAAGATTTCAAGGCTCAAAAAAAACTGGTACGTTCTACGGGTGTCTGCTCCCAACGGCTCTATTAGTACAAAACCTCTTGAAGACTCAAAGGTTAAATGTGTTACATACTGGATTTAAAATCCATTGTGCATCCATCTTCAATGTTTTTTGTACTATGGAGTAAAATAAAAGACACTTGATCAAGTCACCTTTTCAACGACTAGTTTCTAGAAAGGCTATATATATGGCTGAAGATTCAAGTTTGAACTTGAACAAGGATTTTTCTATTGAAGGAGTAGTAAGATCAAGCAATTATCAACTCTATGTAATATGCATATTTTCTGTTGTAGGTTGTAATTGTAAAAGCCTTAAGATTTCTTACCCCTATTTATTAGAAATTATAAGTGCTTTAGGTCTTTGTTATGGTGATTTCCCATACCTCTGATGCTTGCATCATGTACACCTTGTTCTCTATTCTGCTGAGACTTCAGTAGTTTAGATTAAGTCTCATTCTATGTGATTAAGCAAAAAGTTGTGTCGCATTGGGATTCAAGCAACAAGTCTTGAGGCAAGATGCTTAAGACACGTAAGTCTCATTGCTTAAGTGCTTGAGTTGTGAAAGTCTTATTCAGCTAGTCTGATTGAGCAAGTGGGAAAGTCTGCGTCTAAAGGGTGAGAGCAAGAAGTCTCGAGTGTAGCTTGTGCAAGGAAAGTCTCAGTCTGGATGGCCAGAATACTAGGTGGCTCGACCAGAGGATGTAAGCAAAGGGAAGTCTTAGACATGTGCTCTAAGAAAAGGGAAGTCTCAACCAAAAGACAGATGAGCAGGCGGCTCAGTCAGATGGTGTGAGCAAAGGTTTAGTCTCAAATATGTGCTCTAAGTAAGAAAAGTCTCAGACATATAGTCTGAGCAGTTGTAAAAGTTTTATGCAAAAGCATAAGCGATTGTAATCATGAAGTGGTTATAATGAAAAGCTCTTGTAAGTCAAGGGGACTGGACTACTCTCAGTTAGGAGAGAAACCAGTATAAACCTTTTGTGTCTTCTACTGTTATTTTATTTAATTCTGTTGTATTTATTGTCAAGTAAATTAGCTCAGAATATGAACATCAATTCTGATTCTAAAACTCTAATCAGAAGCTAAATAATAAGAAAACGCGAAACACAACTCAATCCCCCTTCTTGTGTACTTTTCACACCTTCAAACACACCTCGTGGAATGTACAACTGAATCAATTAAATATCTTGTGTATCATCATAAAACCATCTTTGGTGTTTGTGAGTCGATTTAGTGTTAACGAGATCAAGTTTCAAAAAGTATAATTTTCATATTTTCGCTTCAAAGCTTTCACGCGCACTTTCAAAAAATCTTTGATATTCAGGTTTTGATGAGTTAGAATGACTAAATTCATTTTAGGAAAATTCTAAATCATAAATGGTTGTATTGCTGTAGTGGTTCTGACTTTGAATAAACATTCAAAGTTCATGGTTTCAACACTTGGTTTGTATGTTTTTTTAGATATTATTTATTATTTTAACAAATAAATAGAAAAAATAAAGCCAAGAGATGCATCCATTCGAATTTGAACCAATGATATTTTGGTTAAGAGACATGCATGCTTAATGTGAATGTGTGATTCATGTTAAGGTTTTCAAAGTATCATGAAGGGGGCTAATAGAATCTAAAGCTTAGTGTAAGCAAATGCTTTAAAATTTATTGTGTGTAATTCTCATCATATCATTTTCATCTTCTCTTGTTTATGTTTTGCAACAGATCTGCAATACAAGATCTAACACTTTATGTCTTTTATTACCCTCTTAAGGCCATAATTCTAGCATTTGAGAGACTTTCTTTTGCTCCACCTTCAAAGCTGGCATATTATCAAACTCATTTATTTTTCTTTTGAGTGATTCATATGTCTAACTAACTCAAACACTCTTTTCGAATATTCAATTTTTAAGTATATCAGTTATCAGGACTGTTTTTAAAGGCGTGCAAGACGGGCTACCGCACAAGCCCTCAAAATTTTCAAGATTAAACTATAGTTAAATGACACCTCATAAAATATTTTTCAATTTAAGTCCTGATTAAATTTGACCTCTATTTATTTTGTCCTTGTTAATTTGTGACTAACCTACACAAGACCTCCAAAAATTTGAGTCGGCTCTATTAGTTATTCAAAAAGAGGTAGCGGCGCATCTTATTATCAATTTGTTATTTGTTATATATATATATATATATATATATATATATATATATATATATATATATATATATATATATATATATATATATATATATATATATATATATATATATATATATATATATATAATAAGATGCACTATTATTTTTTTTAGAGGTCTTGCGTAGGTTAGTCACAAATTAACAAGAATAAAATAAATAAAGGTCATATTTAATTAGAACTTAACTTGAAAAATATTTTATGAAGTGTCATTTAGTTATAGTTTAATCTTAAAAAATTTAAAGTTCTGTGTGCGGTAGTTCGTTTTGCACGTCCTTAAAAAAATCTGATAATTGATATATTTAAAATTTGAATATTCAAAAAGAGTGTTTGAGTGAGTTAGACATATGAATCACTCAGAAAAATAAATGAGTTTGATAATATGCAAGGTGGAGCAAAAGAGTCTCCCAAATGTTAGAATTGTGCCCTTAAGAGGGCAATAAAATACATATTTAAAAAGGGGTAGCACCGTATTTTATTATCAATTTGTTTTTTATTATACCTTGAATTGGGTAGAGGAGTAGTGAAAGATTTAGTGGTTTAGATCAAGAACCGATTGAAATTAGTATCTTACTCTATGTTATATTACTTTTCAAATAAGTAGGTACTTGGATTGTGTTTGCAGCGGGAGATTTGACATTGAAAACATGTTGGATCATATTTGCATTGTGCAGAAGACTTTTGTCTAATAAATGTATTAGTTAGACTTATTGTATTGTAAAAGTTTTGTTGTCTAATTCTAGAATGCTAAGTAAAATTATGAATGATTATAAATCCATGGTGCAAACGAATATGCCTATCTTACAAAAATTCACAAAAAATAGACGAAGCAGACGGTTATAGATGAGAATACAAGTTCAAAATTTAGTTTTATTTTGCAAAAAATAAGGACAGGGTGGAAAAAACTCGCAAACACTGCACACACATTTTAAACCTAAAAATGTAAAAATTTATATAAATACTCATGCTCGAAAAAGCCCGTGAAAAAACGAAGTGACGCGAGCGGACACATTAAAGAATGAGAAGATAAAGCTTTAAACAATCTCGTACTAAAATATGGATAAAACAGATATGTCCAATGAGACGGACTCGTTTTGTCATCTCTAATTTTATGTAAGATGTATCAAAATATATGAATCATGACATATTTTGATAAAGTAAAATAGAAGAGATGAACTCTCGAATTCTAATTCTAACGTAACTATTTATATAGATGATCCATATTGCATCTTTGACTCAGGACTCTGTCTAAACAAAACCTAACTCAAATTCATTAAAACTTCATAAACAAGCTTTTGAAAAACTTATCTATGCATTTCAACCTTTCTTTATTCTCTTGCTCTCTCTAGCGCAATTCTAACATTTGAGAGACTCTCTTTTGCTCCAACTTCAAAGCTAACATATTATCAAACTTACTTATTTTCTTTAAGTAATTCATAAACACTCTTTTTTAATATTGTTAAGACAAAGGACAATAGATAATAGAGGGGGATTGCATTTCAGATGATAAATGTACAATACCATATAATAGCAAATACTTGTTACTTTCTTATACAATCTATAGAATATATCCACCAAATAATGTAATTTTTTTAAAATTAAAATAAGTTAGAACTTTCCCATTTTGATAAAGTGGATTAACCCCCAAAAATAATAGTTGGGTCACAGCAGCACTCGTCCAAGAGGCAACAACAACACAAAGCTGCAAAGCTGTATATAATTACAAAACAAATAATTTATGTTAACAATAAATGAATACATGCTTGAATAAATAATTAGGAAAATTAATGTAAAATTTTTGCTTTAAATTAGTTGCAATTACCATCCTTCAAGAAAACCAGGTTGCCTTTTGGGTGGTGGTGGCGGTGGAGCCGCATAATATTGCGGTGGTGCCGCCACGGGAGGTGGTCCTTGATAAGGGCCTGTATGAGACATAACAGAAAGAAGAATTATTTAGTAACATTACTTGACAAATTGTAGCTAGAAATGTTTCAAAAGGTGTGAAAAGTTTGGTAACTATGTAATTTGATGTACCTTGAGCAGGATATGGATAGCCATATTTGATCTCATTCATCTTTGCAACAAAACTCTTAACTCTAAATATTTGTGTTTGAATGAAGGGTTTGGTTATTTGGTATATGTTCTTGTTATATACTCATCAAGCAGATGCTTTCAGGAAAGAAAAGAAAAAGGATGGGAGAATATAGGTAGTGGAGAGTATTAAGAATAAAGTTCTAGAAATTATATTTCATTTCAATTCACACATTAATTGGATATAATGGCATGTAACTTCATTGTCACTTAGATGATGTTTATATTCTTTATATATGTAATTACTTTGGGAAAGTTGTCCCAAGGCCACTTACAAAGAAAAAGAAAAATAATAATCTTATTTTCTTATAAGCAAATTTGATTTAAGTGAATACAATTTAAAAAGTTTTTTTTTTGTTTTGTTGGTAATTTAAGTTATGTAATCGGTTAATATAAGGTCAGTTACAGTAAGGTTAAAGTTACTTTTTAGTTGAAGAAAAGAAATTTTTTTATAGTTGTACCGATTAATGATTATTTTTTAAAATGATTTAATTCTTATAACAACTGTAATCAGTTACAAATTTAGTGTAATCGATTATAGGCTCAAGTTTTTTTTTCTTTCTATTTTTCAGTTATGTAATTGTGTGAATTGTGTCCCATTCACTTTTTTATTGTTTGTATAATTGTCTTGGAGGCATTCTCATCTTAGTTAATGAATAAGTGTTGAAATATTCTCACCCTTAATTGTCTTTCTCTGTCAATTTCCTTTTTCCTTCTCCACACTCTCATTTTATCTATTATTCACCAGTCTTGTGGTTTCAAGTTCCAACATTTGGTATCAAGAGCTTGGTGTGAAAGAGTTGTTGCAAACCTACCCATCATTGATGCGAAGAGTTACGACAAATAGTGTAAACAAATGAAAGTGTTGTTTGTCTACACTTTTGGGAATGTGCAAAAATAGGTTGCGGGACAACAACAACAACAACAACAATTTTGGGAATGTGCAAAAATAGGTTGTAACCGGTTACATACAAACGTTAACTGGTTACATGCAGAAGAAAATATCGTGGTGACTGTGAGAGAAGGAGTACAGTGCAGCGAGGAATGGTATTTGGACTCAGGATGCTCTACTCATATTATGGGGAGGAAGCATTGGTTTGTTAAAATCAATCGTGCCATAAAGAACAAAGTGAAGTTCGTGGATAACACCACTTTAGCGGCCAATGGGATTAATGATGCTTTGATCATGAGAAAGGAAGATGGACATTCCTTGACCAAATATGTAATGTATATTCCAAGAATTAAATGTAACCTTTTAAGTATTGGTCAATTTCTTGAGAAGGGTTACAAGATTCACATGGAAAATAAGGGGTTATGCGTTATGGATGCAAATGGGGTTTTGGTCCTTAAGGCTGCTATGCCTGCCAATAGAACCTTCAAGGTTGAGCTAAAGGTTATGGAGCATAGATGTCTTGCTACATTGGCAATTCGAGAAGAGTGGATATGGAAATATCATCACGGGCATCTCGATTTTTGAGATCTCAAAGAATTGTAAAAGAATAGAATGGTAACGGGGTTGCCATTAATTAATATACTGGCTGAAGTTTGTGAAGAATGTGTGTGAACGGAGAAACATAAGGGTAAATTCAGCAAGGATGCAGGTTGTAGAACCAAGAATCACCTTGAGGTGATGTATTCAAATGTGTATGAACCAATGCAAGTAGATTTCATTGGTGGCAATAGATATTTCGTCACACTCATCGACGATCATAGTAGAAAGCAATGGACATTCCTAATCAAGAGAAAGGATGAGGTATTTGAAGTGTTTAAGAAGTTTAAACCCGTGGTTGAGAGGCAAAGCAGACACAAACTCAAAGTGCTCAAAATAGATGGTGGAGGCGAATATGTCTCAAAAGACTTTGAGAAGTTTTGTGATTAAGAAGAGAATATACATGAGGTTGTACCACCTTATACACTACAGCAAAACGGTGTTTCTGAAAGGAAGTATAGATCGATTATGAACATGGTGAGAAACATGTTAAAGGGGAAGAACTTGCCGAAACAGTTATGGGAGAAGCGGTATCCATAGTTGCCTATTTGTTGAATAGGTGTCAAACAAAAAAGCTTGATAAGGTAACACTGGAGGAAGAATAATCGGGAATCAAACTAAATCAGAACCATTTGAGAGTTTTTCGTTTCGTAACGTATCGACATGTTTTATGGAAGTTTAGAAAGAAGCTAGATAATAAAGGATAAGTGATGGTATTTGTAGGGTATCACTCTATCGATGGTTACAAGTTGTTTAATGCATCAAAGAGGAGGGTTGTGATCAGATGAGACGTCATATTTGATGAAATCAAGGAGCTGCATTAGCCTACAACCGGTTACATAAAAGCTATAACCAATTACAACTTTGAAATTTTAAATTTTGCATCAACAGAAAATGCAGAAACTCCTGTTGCCGAAGCCCGAATTGAAAAAAATGTGATAACATCAACAAGGCAAAGAGGTTTTCCTCAAAGACTCTAAGACTGTGAGCTTTTCCGAGACAACAAAGTCAATGATGATGGTGATTTTGTCCATTTTGCCCTTATGGCTTAATCTAAATCCGTTAAAACGGAAGATGTTTTAAGTGATCTAAAATGGATTTGTGCTATAAAGAACAGTACTTGGGGGTTGGTTGATTTAATGGACAAGAAGAAGCCGATTGGTGTGAAATAGGTGTTCAAAGTGAAGGAAAATCGCAAGGGCCAAATAATAAAGCATAATGCTAGATTAGTTGTAAAGGGATTCTTATAAGAGAAGGCATAGATTTTGAAGAGGTATTCACACAATTTGATAGGATTGAAACCATAAGTCTAGTTGTTGGTATTGCGAATTATAACAATTGTCTTTCTACCAAATGAACGTCAAATATACGTTTTTGAACTGACCGTTTGAAGAAGAGGTGTATGTAGAATAACCCGATGGTTTTATTTTGAGAAACCAATAGGTAAAGTTCTACAAGTTGAAAAAAAAGTTATATGGTTTGAAGCAAGCTCCAAGAGCTTGGAACAAAAGAATAGATGGTTTTCTAAAGGAGGTTGGCTTGAAGAAATGTGTATCTGACGCATATGTGAAGACGGATACAAATGAATGGGTGATTATCCTTTATCTATATGTAGATGACTTGTTGATAACGGGGAGTAATAGAAAGTGAATTTCTAAGTTCAAGAGTGAACTTATGAAATAATTTGAGATTATTGACCTTGGCCTCATGACATACTTCCTTGGCATTGAGTTCTTCAAGTCCAAAAGGGGACTACTCATGCACCAAAAAATGTATGCGCTTGAGATATTGAAGAAGTTTGAAATGGAGCGTTGTGATGTTGTCATTACTTGGGTTGAACCGAGGATACAATTTTCAAATAATGAGGATGAGAAAGATGTTGATCTAACTCAATATAGGAGGCTAATTGAATCTTTGCGTTATTTGTGCAATATGTGACCGGACTTGGCGTTTAATATCGGTATTGTGAGTAGATTCATGGAAATACCAAAGGTGTCTCACTTAGAAGCAGTCAAGACGATCCTAAGATATGTCAAAGGTTCTGTTGGATGCGAAATTCTCTTTCCCTCAGCGGATATGAGCAAAAAATGAAATTCGCTCGATTTTACCGACTCTAATTGATGCGTAGATAAAGATGATCGAAAGTCTATAGCGGGATACATCTTTATGTTCGGTGGAACACCAATCTCATGGTATTTAAAGAAGAAACTGGTTGTTGCACTCTCATCTTGTGAGGCCGAGTATATTGTCACTTTGCTTTGTGTGCGTCAAGTCGTATGGCTAATGAATCAATTGGAGGAGATGGGCAACAATGAAGGTGAGACTATTATACTCCTGGTTGACAACTTTTTCGTTATTAATCTTGCTAAGAACTCAATTTTACATGGGAGGAGCAATCACATTGAGATGAGGTTTCACTACTTGAGAGAGCTTATTAATGAAGGAAAGTTAAGATTGAGATATTGTAGAAGTGAAGACCAAGTGGTTGTTTTGTTGACTAAGGGAGTCACAAATGATGTGCTCAAGAGGTTGAAGATGAACATGGGCATGGAAGACTTGGATCACTTGAATTAAGGTGGTGTGTTAAAAGTATTTTTAGTAATTCAAATGTTGTAACTGGTTAACACGGGGGTGTAACCGATTACAGCAAAGTCAAAGTCACTTCTGAGCTGAAGAAGGAACACTTTGTAGCTGTAATAGGTTAATATCTGCATGTATCTGGTTTCCACTGAAAGTGATTTAATTCTTGTAGAAACTATAACCGGTTACAGGTTTAGTGTAACCAGTTACAGGCTCGAGTTTTTCTGTTTTTCAGTTATGTTATTGTGTGAATTGTGTCTCAATCACTTTTGTATTGTTTGTAAAAATGCCTTGGAGGCATTCTCATCTTGGTTAATGAATGAATGTTTATATATTCTCACCCTTAACTCTCTCTCTCTCTCTCTCTCTCTCTCTCTCTCACACACACACACACAAAATTTCCTATTTTCTTCTCCACACTCTAATTTTCTCCATTATTCACCAATCTTATGATTTCAAGTTCCGGGTATTTTAACTCTCGTACAAATTCAATCCACCGATAATTTATTTCAACTTAAGAAAATCACATAGACTTTTACACCAATTATAAATATTATTATTGGGTAATCTTTATCACAAGTTACTTGATAAATAATAATAAATTAAGAGAAAATTAGGAAGATGGTTGAGGGAAAAAAATTTATTAAAATATTGTGTTGTGTTAAGTAATGTATTCTTCCTTCTTCCAATCATCTCCTCATTTTGTTCATCAGTGGCACTCATTTGTGCATCTTTTTCATTAAATTCATTAATTTCCTCTTCCATCTTCAAATATATCCACCCAAATACTTCCATATTCTAATCTCCCAACATTTTTCTTAGCGGTTTGAATTTTTCTTTCAAACATAGGTGTTCAACCTTAGAGTGTTAATCTCCTAATTAGCCTCGTCACATATCACCGTATTTAAAATCAG